AACTAACAAAGCACATCTTGTTTGCTTGTTAGCAGATTCTGAGGATTTGAGCTTTGAGGAAGTTGTCCGAAATGAAAAATGGCAATCTGTCATGGAAGAAGAGATAAAAGCTATTGAGCTGAATAAGACATGGGAGTTAGCCGAGCTACCAAAAGGAAGTCGGCTCATCGGTGTGAAATGGGTATATAAGAAGAAGATGAATGGTAAAGGGGAGATTGAGCGATTCAAAGCCCGGCTAGTAGCAAAGGAGTACAAGAAAAAAAGCTGGAATAGACTATGACGAGGTGTTTGCACCCGTGGTGAGGATGGAGACAATCAGGTTGTTGATCTCACATGCAGCCCAACTTGGATGGTCGATCTTTCAGATGGATGTGAAATCGGAGTTCTTAAACTATGTACTTGAGGAGGACGTATATCTCAAACAACCTTCAGGTTTCATGAAAGTAGAACAAGAAAGAAAAGTGTTAAGACTGAAGAAGGCTTTGTATGGGTTGAAGCAGGCACCACGGGCTTGGAATACCCACATTGACTCTTATTTCAAGAAGGACAGATTTGAGCAATGTCCATATGAACATGCCCTGTATGTGAAGAAGAAAGAAGGTGATATTTTACTAGTTGCTTTATATGTTGTTGATCTAATCCTCTTGGGAAATGATGAAGGATGATACACGACTTCAAGAAGAAAATGACAAAAGAATTCGAGATGACAGATCTCGGTCTGATGAGATACTTCCTTGGTCTGAAAGTCAGACAAGACAAATCTGGGATCTTCGTATCTCAAGAAGCTTATGCAAAATATATCCTGAAGATGTTCAAAATGATAGATTGCAATCCGGTTTCAACTCCTATGGGACCCGGCTTAAAACTTTCGAAGTATGATGGGGGAGAAAGAGTTGATCTGAGTAATTACCGGAGTCTAGTAGGATGTTTGAGGTATTTAACTTGTACGAGGCCAGACTTGTGCCTAAGTGTTGGGATTATAAGTCAGTTCATGGCAGATCCGGGCTACACACATTGGAAGGCAGCAAAGAGGATATTGAGATATGTTCAAGGAACAATCTCGCAAGGACTTCATTATTCGAAGTCAGACAAGTACAAGCTAGTGGGATATTCAGATAGCGACTGGTGTGGAGATGTTGATGACAGGAAGAGCACGACTGGCTATGTGTTTTTCATGGGAAACACGACATTCACGTGGGTGTCAAAGAAGGAACCCATTGTGACTTTATCTACATGCGAAGCTGAGTACGTTGCTGCATCCTGGCGTTTGTCACGCAATGTGGTTGAGGAATCTATTGAGTAAATTGGAGCAAGAACAAGTCGACCCAACCGAGATCTGGGTTGACAACAAGTCTGCAATCGAGTTAGCAAAGAACCCGGTCAATCATGAGAGGAGTAAGCATATAGATGTCAGATTTCATTTCATCCGGGATCAAGTCAAGGAAGGAAAGGTGGAGCTTACTCATGTTGCAAGCCGAGATCAAGTGGGTGACATATTTACGAAGCTGTTGCCAACGTTACTGTTAGAAAACTTCAAGAAGAAGATTGGGATGAAGGATGGTCGAAGAATTTAAAGCTTACGGGGGAGTTTTGTTAGGATAAGTTTTAAATTAAATAAAAGAAAAATAGAAAATGAAAAGTGTATGGTGAAGAGGTGTGTCCCTAAATATCTATTAGTGGACAATTAATATGTTTCGATTTTCTATGTTAGTCATTATCATTCTTAATCATTTGTTATTGCTTATAAATAGCACATTATAATTCTTGTAAAATAAAGCTTGGCAGAATCAGTATTAGAATAGAAGTATATTCAGAGAATTGCCTGTGTATTTGTGTGAGTGAGCATCAGTTATAGGACCCGTGAAATAACATGCACGAGATATTTTTATAGTGGAGCCAAACAGAAACTTACAAATCAGGAGCGAGGTTCCTTCTTCAACACAACAAAGCATGACCTAGGTCCCACTCCATTATAAAGACATTAACATTTGTTAGATGTGCAAAAATAAGATGAAACATTTCAGCAACAGGTTTGATCCTACACACCACACCAGATGAAATCATCAATAAAGCAGAAAATGATTCTACAAAACAGGGGTCAAAGTGAAAGAGGGAATCGATTTATAACATTTTTAGTTTTAGGGGGCGTTTGTTTCGGGACTTCTCTCAAGTTTGATAGGGAAGTGATGCTTGGATTCTATATCTCCACGTTTGGTTCGACCAATTGCTGAAATTTCTCCATCTAAGTGAGTTCCCCATCTTTTTAGGATTGCATGTGATTTCTCTCCAAAAACACTGTTGAACATTGCTTCTTGGCGGGTCGTATTGTGGGGGGAAATCCGGATAAGTGAAAAAGAGGAATAATGAGTGACTAATTTTCCCCTCACACGTCACTATTTTTTGTCCAAACTGATACATCAGTCATCCATCTTGCATCTCGTTTTTTGAGACCGACCGAAGAAGAAAGAGCGAAGACAGCCACATGCGCTTGTTGGTCAGGTAATGGTAAAGGTTTTGAACGAGATTTTTATTCGTGTTTGTGTATGTGAACTGAGACATCACCATGTATTAATCAAAAAAGATTGTTGTTGAAGACGGAAAGCTACAGCTAATTGCTGAGAAGGAGACAGAAGGAACAGTTTACTGCTTGAACTCGTTTAATGGTAAAATTGCTTGCTGCTATTAATCAAAAAATTCAGCTGTACAAGTGGGTGCTCCGGGATGATGGTACCCATGAATTACAGTCTGAATGTGGACATCATGGACACATCCTAGCACTATATATGCAAACAAAAGGAGATTTTATCGTAGTTGGTGATCTGTTGAAGTCAATTTCCTTGTTAATGTATAAGCTAAGCCTCTGAGTTGTCTTTATGCAGAAGTTTATTGTAAAGGTTGCAGTTTCCCTTTTCAAGCTTGTTGAATAAAGGGTTGTTTGAAATAAGGGCTATTTGGTAATTTAACTAAATTTACCCATCAATATTTTAATTTCAACCAAACACACATTCCAAAATTTTACTCAATTTTCCCGGTAAAATTTTATCCAACCAAACAACTTTTTTTTAACTTTCCTACCAAACTCAATTTCCAACCATTTCCCTATCAATTATATTTCCCTAGTATTCAAAAAATTTCTCCTCAACCAAACGCCCCTTAAGGATTTAGCTGGAAACACATATCTTCTCACGTGGGATCCACAATACATGACTGCGAAAACTCAGGTGTTGAAAGTAAATATTTATGTAAGGATAACTAAAATAAATAAGAGTTCGTGTTTTCTGCAAGTAGATAATTTATCTACTTTGAACCAAAATAATGTCTTTTTTGAGATTGAAATCAGGGTATTTTTGTAAGGGTTATAATAATCTTTCTAATTATAATTTTTTAATCTTTCGCTCCAAAATGATGTCATTTTAGAAGTGAATATAAATAATTTATGGGTTTTATAAGAGTTATGTTGTAAGAAAAGTGATTGTGTTACGTTATAGAGATTCGTTTTCTGTGCCGAAATTTATTTATTTTTTGCTGCGGGCTCTACAAAATGTTGTGTGTGTAGGAAACTTTTTGTGGCCATGTTAAATGATAGATGATAAACCCATAATTTATCTATATAAACATTAAAGCGAACAAATTATCGCTAAAATAACTTTACTAACAAATGTTGTACGGCATGTCACGAATCTAGGCTTTTTTACCATTATAACCCTTTATTAATAATTAATTATCAAATTGACCTTTATTATAAACTATTTCGAAAATTTAACCTCCTTATAAAACATAACACCAATCTGCCCCTATTTGACCGTTGACCACTATGCCTACCCGGGTACACCCCTCCTTACCCGGGTATATTTTGAAATTTTATGCCTACCCGGGTAAAAAAGAGGTGTACCCGGGTATATTTCTTGAGATCTGAAAAATTGTTTGAATTATTTACCCGGGTAGAAAGTGGTTTACCCAGGTAAATCTCGTGTGTATCTCTTTCCTAAAACTCCACTAAATTAAACTCCACTTCCTCACCTGTTCTCAAAATCAAGGTCCTTTCAATGGCAATAACATCTCATTCCAACCACAAGTATACCAATCGACTTGCTTCCGGGCAAAGCCCTTATCTTCTTCAACACGCTTATAGCCCAGTAAGTCCCTTATTTTATTAATCTCATGTTCCTCACAATATTGCTTCTTTTTCATTTTTCACTCATAATCCATTATTTTTTAGGTTGATTGGTATCCATGGGGTGAAGAAGCTTTCGCTGAAGCACGCAAGCGAGATGCACCTATCTTCTTATCAAGTAATTGAAAAATCTGTTTTGATTCCTTTTTGTTCTTCATTTTTTTTTTTTGGGGAATTTTGTTTTATGTAATTAACTGCTGCTTGCTGTGTGATATTAATGGCGACTCAATTCGAAGGTGGGTATAGCAATTTACCCGGGTACACCCCTTTCTACCCGGGTAAATAATTCAAGCAATTTTTCAGTTCTCAAGAAATATACCCGGGTACACCCCTCTCTACCCGGGTAGGTATAAAATTTTAAAATATACCCGAGTAGGGAGGGGTGTACCAGGGTAGACTTGGTGGTCAACGGTCAAACAAAGACAGATTGGTGTTATATTTTTTAAGGAGGTTAAATTTTTGAAATAATTTAAAATGAAGGTCAATTTGGTAATTAATTATTAATAAAGGGTTATAAGAGTAAAAAAGCCCACGAATCTAACTTATCCTATAACGTGAAATGTAGCAATGACCGGTTCAAAACACATTTTTTCTTACCACAAACAAATATATTACAAAAAAAGAAAAAAAGTGTAGTATAGGGATGCTAATCTAGACACATAATCAAACAGAATAATTTCACACCCATCACTCTGTCTTTCCCATTAAATTAGACAGCGATACAGTAGTGGATAATTTGAATATAGTCTTCGTACAACTAATGTGGATAATTAGTCTTCGTACAACTAATGTAAAATAAGAACGAAGGGCACAAAATTATGTTATACTACATTTCTTTAAAATCTGAATATAGTCTAAGATAAAGGTTTGATAAAATTAAAGGAGGACAATTGCCCCTCATAGCCCCTCCGTGATTCCACCACTTGCGAAATGGCAGCGTAGGGATGCTTTGTTCGCTCCTGAAGAAATTGCCGGGATCAACCAGAGTTTTGATTCGAACCAACCTGTTGAAGTTCTCCGTAAAATACTCGACTCCAAAAACTCTGCCTTCAGAGTAGCTGTTCTTACCATTATTGTTGATACCCAAATCAAGATCCTTATAATTTAAGAAAGCCTGTCTTGGATTCTTGGACACATAAGGAGTCATATATTTATGAAGTTTTCTTGTCAAACTTATGTAGTGATCTGCTACCTCTTTCCCAGCTTGATTCCAATTTGCTTGGTATTGGATCTTCCAAAGGTTCCCAGCTCGATGAGGAAAAGGAGTGGCTGTAGACGAAACCTCATCCATGATTCCACCATAAGGATTGAAATATAGTATTGCACCCACCAATTTAATCATCTTCTTCCAAATCCCTTCCAAACCCTCTTTGGAAATTACTTTCTTTACATAATCAGATTTCCTTTTCAAGTAGTTGAGTGATTGAGGTTGTCTATCTAGTAAAATCTCAATAGGTGTAGCAATATCAATATTTGTCCAAAACAACACTGATTGTAACCAACTTGTTTCAATGCAATCTGATTGCTTCAAACCCAATTCAGGAAAACTCTCATTCATTAGAGTAAGAAGCCTTTTGGAGTCACCAAGGAATAAGGCAATGAATGTAGCCCTTACAGTCTTAGTTCCATTTTGAGTCCCATTTACCACATCCAAAATAAGCCTAATGAAGAGGTCATTGTCAATTTTTGGAGCTACATGTTGCCATTTGTAAACTATATCCGTTGCATTTTGCTCCAGGGTCCTTCTAACTTCAAAAACAGTGACTATCTCAGGAACTCTAACCAGCTTGAATTTGTAAGAAAAAACCACACCAAAACTAGCTCCACCACCACCTCTAATAGCCCAAAAGAGATCTTCGCCCATAGATTTTCTATCAAGCAATCTTCCATGAACATCAACTACTTCTGCATCAATAACATTATCAACTGATAAACCGTATTTTCTTATCAAATTACCATAGCCACCACCACTTACGTGTCCTCCTACGCCAACAGTGGGACAAACACCAGCTGGGAAAGCATGAATCTTACTTTTCTCAGCAATTCTATAATAAACTTCACCAAGGGTTGCACCAGCTTGTACTGAAGCTGTTTCATTGCATACATTAACATCAATGGCTCGGAGATTGAACATGTCAAGGATGAAAAATGGTACCTCAGCTACATAAGACACCCCTTCATAGTCGTGGCCTCCACTTCTGATTTTCATTAGCAAGTTATGCTTTTGAGCACAAATAATGGCTGCTTGTACATGTGACACATGCGATGCAGTGACTATAAGGAATGGCTTAAGGGTCGTGGAGGTGTTGAAACGAAGGTTTCTAATGTAGGCTTGTAATACAGAAGAGAATGAGGAATTGTTTGGGGTGAAAATTGCTGAAGTTATGGGGTGTGAGGGCTCAGAATAATTTACAAGGCAATGAACGAAAGTGTTGTGTGCTGAATTTTTAGCTAATGCTGAAGAGTGAAGAGAAAGCAGCACAAAAATGGGAAGCAGAGATAGCAGTGTTCTAGGAGGAGAAGGGATTCCCATTTTTTGGTTATCTTAATTTTGTCCTTATTTCTATTTCTAAGGAAGACAAGATATATATAGGATTTTTTATTTTTTAGTTTTAGTTTTTAGGACATGATCTGAATTGGAATTTATAAGGATCTATTTGGCAACGATAATATATAATTAAAGAATAAATGAGGGGATTAGCTTAACCCAATATTAATCAAACATATTAATAGGTAATGTAACTGAATTAGTCTTTAACTTAATTTGCAAAATATGATTGTCAACATATTAATAGGGATTGTATTAGTTTAAACTCTCATCAAATTTTTGCTCATATTATTTCAAATTTAAATTATTATCCAATAGCTATTTAACTAAAAATATAGAGTGTTTGATATTTAAAATATGTTTAAGGGGTGAGATAACATAAAACAAAATTAGGTAGTTTACTGTGATTGTTTTTATAACAATCATATTAATGTTGATGATATTTAAAAAATAGCTTAGAAAGATATTATGAATTTTATAACCTACTTGTAATTTCAAAAATTAAGTACTTGAAAGGCTTTATGTTATTATTTGAATAATTTAGAAAATATAGATTTTGAAAGTTAATTACAATTTCATTTGATATAAATTGTTTTATAATAATCAATTTTGATTCTAATGATATTGAAAAATGTTATGAAAGAATATTACGAATTTTGAGATTCTTTTATAATGTAATGGTCGAATATTAGATAAGCATTGCGGGGGCATAAACATAATGAAGCTCTCTCTATCCCATAATTAAACTCAAAATTACTGATTAACCGGCAACAATTCTGTACCAATTAACCTATATACTTGGTGGTAAAATATTTCATTTCAAAAAGCTGTGTCTTTATGATATGACAATTCGCACACGTGATTGATTATGATTTATGACTAAAGTTGGAAGTTGTCAGTTGCCACCTCTGCAGGTCCTCCTCTTTGATAGGGAATCTTTCCTAGTTGTGAATCCAACTAGAAATGCTAATCCTCATCCAAATCTTTCACGTTATTTCATTCATCTCTTATTCAAACATTGTTTTGCCACATTTTTTCTTGGCTTAATTCAAGCAAAAAAACTTGAGATATACATAATTAATCGACAGTAAAATGTGTATACAATACAACTTTAATCGAACTTCTCTGTAAATTGGAAAAACACTATCTTCACTGTAAATTAGGTTGTGTTCCCTTCTCAAAATATTTAACGATTTTACTTTATTGAATATATAAGTAATGAGATATAAGTTAATTAATGATTAAGATTGAATATAATTTTTTTTTTACCGAATCTGATGTATGGTTAATCCAATAATTCACTCCAACCGATTTTATAACTGGTTCATCAATTTTTGATTCACCAGCTTTCGCTTCGAATCAGCCGGTTCGAGTGAGTTTAATAACATTTATAAACTACAGTAACAAAGTTAGAAATTGGATTAGATTACAATTGACACCCGCAGTTATACCATTTTTACCTCCATACATAATAACTTTTGCTTAGTGACATTTAATCCCTTGAACTTGGAAGTGAATCCTCCCATCTTCCTAAGAAGATTTTGGGGATATTGACCATTGTGTCATCCTTTTAATAAAAATTTATCTGATATATGTCAGCGTTTGAATGGTCAATCATTCTCGCTGGGCTGTCCAGTTAGAATGACAGAATGCTGACACGTGGCAAAAGTACAGGCATTCTCTAGATGTCCAGTCCATTCCTGCTTGTCAGACTAGCGAAATTATGACATGATATTTTGGCAAAAAAAATTTCGAACGTGGCACTCAAGTAAATTTTTGCTCAAAAAATGACAATATTCGCAAGATTTTGACCGTTCAAATAAAGTGATTTGATAATGCATTAAAATAAAGGATAGAAAAATAACAATGTTAATTTATAATGATAATTCGCTGAAATTATTTCAAATGAACTCAATTCACCTCTATTAAAAAACGTTATTCATGCTCTTAAATTTACATCATTGCTCCTGACTATCATGTACATCTTCTCCACCAACCCATTCGTACTTGTTCGTGTCCAATCGCTTTCTTTCAATATACGAAACAGGACCACCTTCAAACAGACACTTCATCAGTGCCAGTGCCGCAGTTCGTACACGGTCCTATTGGTCACATGCTGAATCGACCATTAATTAAATTGTAATTCAAATCAGCGGCAATTTCTGACGATGCTTTCACGTTTCAGGAAAATATTTTCGCTATTATATATGTAGAGTTTTCGTTTTTTCGACATAAAAAAGTTTCTTATACATATAATATTGTGTGGGATCTGCACTTTTTAAAGAAAAAAAAAAGTTTAAGACACGCAAAATAAATCTCTGTAACATTACACAATTACTTTTTCTACGACATAACTCTTATAAAATTCATATATGTATTGACAATTCGATACATCTTTTTATCAAAATAAATCACTTTCGTAGTCCAAAATATATCACCAAATTTAATTTTATTTTTGGTACATAAAAGGGCCTAAGTCCAGAAAGCAAACAAAACTAAGAAACTAAGGAGGCACGAGGCCTACCAACAGAAGAAACATCACCTAAAAGCAAAAAAGAAATGCCACTTGGAGGCACACGAAACAGCAGAGCATCTACATCATCCCTTTTGTCTAGAATGAAATTGGCCAACCAGTCCGCACACATGTTGCCTTCTCTGTAAATATGACTCAGCTTAATGTTCCAATCTTTTTTGATCCAAGTCCGTATGCGGGAGACAAGTTGACTCTCACGGACTGCTATACCAGAGCTGGATAGCAAAGTGATTGCACTAGAGGAATCACTTTCCAATTCAATATTACGAAATCCTTCCTTCCAAGCCAATTCTAGACCACGAAGGATTCCCCAAAGCTCCGCTTTATAAGAAGAACATTTACCTAACTTATAAGCAAAGCCATTTAGCCATCTACCACTTGCATCACGCAAAACACCACCACAGGCAGCAGGGCCAGGATTACCACGGGAGGCTACGTCAGTATTAATTTTAATGTAACCATCCTCAGGAAAGCTCCAGAAAATAGTAACCATAGTACTTCTAATACCTAGCCTCTGGTTATTCAAAACGTTAAACGCAGCATCATTCTCCTTAGCTAACGTACGGATAGTTTGTTCCCTAAAATTCCAGCTAGGAATGGGGATTCCATGACAGAATTCATTACGCCACTGCCAGTGTTTCCAGCAAGCAATAAAAAAGACCGACAACCAGTTGTTGGAACCATTCAACGTAGTCCAGCCTATCAAATTAGACTTAATCCACACCTCAAAATTATCCTCAAAAAATCGAGTGGCCAAAAAAGATGGAACCAGATTATTCCAAATCAATTTAACCTCATGACAGTCTCTCATAGAATGCAGAATTGATCACTAGCAGCCTTACAAACTGGACATAAATCCGAAGACCCTCCCCACCTAGCAATAGTATCCATTGTTAATAATCTACCATGCAAAATTTTCCACATTAAAATCTTCACTTTCTGAGGGTCATTCCATTTCCATAAAACTGACCATAGCTCTTGCCTTCCATCCTTGTTTGCTCCTCTGCTGAGAAGGAAATCGTATAACTGTCTGATCAAAACTGAAGGAGAGCTAATAAACTTCCAATATTTTCTACCTGGACCATCATCAACACAAGGGGGTAAGATATTCTGCAAAATACTTATAGCATTGGGACTAAGCCAGTTCTTCAAAGCCATCCAGTTCCAGCTACCATCAGATGAAGTCATATCAGCCACATTCTTATTGAGATTAATATCAAGAGTATGAGGGAGAGTCATATCCTGAAGTAAGCTAGCACCATTGATCTAATAATCTGTCCAGAAATTAATATACTTACCATCACCCAAACTCCAGCCAAGAAACTCATTCAGAGAACACCACATTCTACACACATTCCTCCATAAAATCGAAACTCCACTTTTCTGCACAAAACAAAGAGATCCTCTATTATCTGCTGCATATTTGGCTTTGAGAGCCTGAATCCAAAGCTGGTCTTTATCATTGAAAACTTCCCAAGCCATCTTAGCCATAAACGCATCATTCATCAATTCCAGCTTCTTAAACCCCAGACCTCCAGCACTCTTAGGCAAGGTAATAGTCTTCCAATTTATTAAATGATTCCTACGAATTCCATCATGGTCACCCCAAATGAAGTCCCGTTGAATTCTTTCAATTTCTTTACAGACAGCAGAAGGGATTTTAGTGCTTTGCATTTGAAAATAAGGCATAGCTGACATAACAGAATTGGTCAAGGTGATTCTACCCGCTTGGGATAAGCAAACCTGATTTCAGTTGTTAAGTTTTGATCTTACATTCTCTATAATACCAGCATAAAGATCCTTTTTCACTCTACCATGTTGCATCGTAGAACCAAGGTATCGACCAACATTATGAACTCTTTTGAAACCACTCAGGTGCACAATATCAGTAATCAGATTCTCAGGAGTATTTTTTGAGAAGAAAATGGAGGTTTTATCCACACTGAGCTTGAGACCCGAAGCCTCCTCAAATATGCTCAGGCACTTCAGCAGCACATTCAACTGATCCACCGAAGCTTCCATAAAGACCATGAGGTCATCTGCAAACGCTAAGTGAGAGATATGAGGGCCTGCTTTACCAGCTCGCATGGGTTTCCAGAGACCTCCATTGATTGTTGTTGATATAATATGGGACAATTTCTCCATAGCAATAACAAAAAGATATGGAGATAGGGGGTCCCCTTGACGAATTCCTCTAGTGGGATTGAATTCACCAGTTTTACCACCATTCCAAACCACATTAAACTTGGAAGATTTCACACAGCACATAACCGGATTAATGAACTGACTAGGCAAATCAACTTCTTCCATAGAATGCTGCAGAAAATCCCAACTTAGGCTGTCATAAGCTTTAACTAGATCAAATTTAATAGCCATGTAAGCTTTCCTTCCCTTCATTTTGTGCATTAAATGAATCATTTTTTGAACAATAATAATATTGTCCTGAATTTGTCTTTGGGGAACAAAACTTGTTTGTCAAGGAGATATGATTTTTTCCATAATTGGTTTCAGCCGATGAACCAAAGATTTAGAAACCAATTTATACAAAACATAACATAATGATATAGGCCGAAATTGAGAAACAGATTTAGGCCTTTTAACTTTAGGGATTAAAACTAGGAGAGTAGAATTAAAATCAGAAATTAACTCAGGGTTGATCCAGATGTTACTAACCGCCTTGTACACTTGCTGACAGATTGAATTCCATTTCCTTTGGAAGAAAAAAGCAGGATAACCATCAACACCTGAAGCCTTATAAGCACCAATACTATACAGCAATTTTGCAACCTCTTGAAATCCTGGAGCTCTGGTCATAGCAATCTTTTCATTCATGGAAATACTGGGCCAACAATTAGGAGATGAAAACCATCTTCGGTTCTGATTCTCCTCTTGGAATAAATTCTTAAAAAATCTGCAAACATGATCTTCAAGTTCCCCTGGATCCTCAATCCAAACCTGAGAATCACTCCGAAGCCTTGACACTTTATTAATACTCCTCCGGATAACAGCCTTTGAGTGATAAAATCTTGTATTTTTATCACCATCCACTATCCAACTATGTCTAGATTTTTGGAACCATAACATTTCTTCATAATCTAGTGTTTGGTCTAAATCTATCTGGACCTGCTTTTCCAATTCTTGAAGATAGTGAGAATCAGAATGAGTCCTATGCTTTTGAATATCAGCAAGCTTCTTAGAAAGATTTTCTTTCTTCCTATGAATATCACCAAAAACATTTTTGTTCCAGTAGCGGAGATGAGGAGTTAACTCTGCAAGCATGAGATTTATTTCCTTCGAAGAATTCCAACTATCTTCCATGAAGTCCTGGAACTTTGGATGGTCCAACCAAGCAGCTAAAAACCTGAAAGGCCTCTCCTGCCAATTCTTTTTAATTGCATTTAGCTTGATAAGATGAGGATTATGGTCAGAATGTAACCGAGGAAGGATTCTGACTGCAGCATTTTCATATTTTAATCTCCAATAAATATTGGCACAAGCTCTATCCAACTTTTTAAACACTCTATCTAAATGATTCCACTTTGGTCCCTGCCAAGTAAAATTAGTACCTAAAGATTTGATATCCTCCACATGACATTCATCAAGGAAAGCAGCAAATCTCTGACATTTGGCAGCATCTATTCTAGAACCTCCTCTTTTTTCACTGATAGATTTAATGTCATTAAAATCCCCAGCTATAATCCAAGGAACCAAAAAACCCTGACTAAGATTCTTCACATCATTCCACATAACATGTCGATTCTCCTCCCTGGGACTAGCATATACAGTTGTACAAAGGAAACTCTCATATTGGTTAAACTCAATCTTCATATGAATGAATTGAGGAGTTTGAGAAATAGGATGCACCTTCACTCTTTTTGAATCCTAAATAACCCACAAACCACTAGAAAACCCATTTGCTTCTTCAAAAATAGCCTTATCAAAATTCAACTTCTTCATAATAGGTCTACTTTTATCACTCTGAGATCGAGTTTCTAGCAGAACTACAATACTGACCCCATTTTTATCCACAAACATTTTCAGAGTTCGACCAAATTTGGGGTTAGCCGCACCCCTACAATTCCATATAATCATGGACATCAAGACAACATGGGGGATATAATAGGTTGATCTTGAACCTGTGACAAACTGTTCCTAGACTCATTTCCAGACATATCAAAAGCCATACCTATATTTCCTTCAGTAGACTGATTAGGAACACCAGTTCCATCAATATATTTGCTTTTACTCCCTTTGCTTCGACCCTGATACCCTTCCTCCCTAAACCCTTGGTCTGGAGGTTTAGGTTCAGGATCGCCTTCTGCCTCCAACATTTGGTGATTCTTTAAGTGAAGCATGCTAGAATCAACTACCAGATCATGCCTTTGGATTGAAGTTAGCTCTTTCGAAATTTGTTGTAGTTGCCCAGACTGATCAAATAATGAATCATCATGTTATTTCCAATTTTCCTGAAAACCCTCCACCTTCTTGTCTTTAACCCTTGTAGCTAACATTTCTACATTATCTATAGTTTCCTCTTTATTATAAGCATCTGTGGCCTGAATATTGTTCCACACTAATTGATAAGCTTTAGAAGTTTCAATAAGAGTGGGCTTCTCCTTTAAACTCTTCTTTTCTCTTTCAGGGTGCCTTACAACCTGTCTTTCCTCCGAATCCACTTGGGTCTCCTTCACGGACTCCACATTCCCCAAATTATCATTCTCATCAGCCACTGTTTGCAAAACATTGAAATTTGCTCCCTTGTCACGTCTTCCATTTTGAAGAGTTTTATCCTTAACTTTATTCTCTGCTACCTTAGAATTGGAAACCTTCCTAGCACCCTGTTGTTTATTAACTAACATCCAAGGGCCTAAGGAAACACCCTACAAATTCTGATTCTGACTTACATCCCTGCCCTCAACATTCCCTATCTCAGCATTTCCCATTTCTTCTTCCTTCCCATCGCTGCCAGGACCAACTATAGATTTAGAGCATTTTTCAGCTCTATGACCATACTGGCCACAAGTATAGCACACGATGTGTAATCCTTCGTATTCAATCTTCTTTAATCTACCTTCTATTTTATAATCAGCCTGTAAGGGTTTTCTTAAATCTAACTCCACACAAATTCGTGCAAATCTACCCCTAGCAAGAGAAGTAGTGGCAGCATCAAGTTTGACAATATGACCAATCCAATTTCCAATACTCTTCACCAATTCAGTATTTACATATTCAATAGGGAACTGAGGGAGTCTTACCCAAGCCATGACTCTGTTAATTGCCGCTTGAAACGGTTGAAAGTCAGGTTCCCAAGCTTGAATCACCAAGTAGTGATCCAAAATCACCCACGGGCCAGCGGTCAAGGCATGATCCAAATCTTTTTTTTTTTTTTTCTGAAAAACGCACCAAGTAGAAACCGTTTTCCATATCTGTGATCATAAGCTGCCCTTCACGCGCCCACATATTCTCCAGCCGTTTCTTCATAAAGGATAGGGATAGCCTTTTCCCCAACAATTTAACTTAAATCGCTTGATGCCACGGACGCCAAGCTTTCTTTTTAAATGCGCTTGAAAGTAAGAAATTGGTTCTTCCGTCAACACCAACTTCGCATGTGACTTCTGGTACAGGTTGGGCAGCCTCTGTCCCTTCCTCTGCCTGTTCCTCATCTTCCTCCATCGAATTCTCTTCCCAGAAGGTGGCCACTCTCCGTTATGCCTCATAATCATCTCTTTATAAGACACTTTGTCATGCATCCACTCATCATCTCTAGACTTCATCTGTTGATCATGGCTAAATATGCCTTCCTGACGCTTTTTCTTCCTGGTTGAGCATTGGAGGTTATCACTTTCCTCCATCGAAGGCACTTTCTCTTCCGACGAGTTCATGACGGTTGAACCCTAGCAGAGCGTAACTTTTAAAATTCTATGATATTTGAACAATATAAATCACTTTCACCAATTTTTTCTCAGCCATTATTCATTCATTGAATTCAACTAATCTTTGAATAAAAAAATTGTATCCATTACCTAGGTTTGAATCTTAAATACAATGACATAAAAAAAAAATTGGTACAAAACATACCGTCTCATATTGACTAAAAAATAAGCTATCTCTTTCGAACATCAAGGAAGGATTTATACTACAGTCTTCAAGTATTTGATGTTAGTAAAATTCAAATCATTTCATTCCTTCTTCTGCCTAAAATTTAAAACCAAAATATCAAAATCCTAGGGGCGTTCGGTAGAGGGAAAAAAAATTTATTCAGGAATTACGATTTTCAGAAATATGGTGGGGAAGTAAATTTTCCAATAATATTACCAAAATGCTATTTGGTAGGCCAAAATTTTCTTATGAATATTGGATTAATTTTTCTAATTTTATATTTGATTGATTGTAAAATATTGCTGAGAATGTAGACCGAATTTACAAAATTAACCTTAAGCCTCATTTTTTTTATCCAACCTCATTTTTTCCTTTATGGTTCATTTGACCTCAACTCTCTCTCTCTCTCTGATCATAGTCGATGGCCATCTCTCCGGCACAATGGTTGTCAATCTTAACTCTCTTTCTCTCTCAGCCAAGAGACACAGAAGTTTATCTCAAGCAAGGTTGGAGTCATTCTCGTTGGACATTAGGAATCGGATGGAGCTGCAATTTGCCACTATTCGTTGGTAAACGATGTGAACTTAAAA